AGGCTTTGCTTAGCAGTGCGGATTTATAGGCTGTTGATGATGATCATAATGAAAGAAGTTATTATTGTACTCTTCAATGTCAGTAAAAAGAATTAGTATTTTTAAAAGGTTGCGTAAAGGTAGGTGACCGCATATCGAGTGCGGTGAACGATTTGCAAGCTTTGATTGGTTTCATTATTACTCAGCACGGTCGCGCGAACTACGAATTCTATGATTGCTAAGATAATGTCGAATTTATATGTATTCTTATAATAAAAAAACTAGAAGGATCACCCCCTATTACATGGGACTCATAACATAAATAGTGAAAAGTGGGTGTTACATTGTACAGTGGCATTAAGTGCCGTAGCACCCCTTAGGGCATAAGGGCGTGATGTTATGTTGAAGGATTACCAGTGCATAGAACCAATCGCCCTCGCAAAAACCGACAACGTACTATAGCTCTCTTACCCTAGCGTACGTTCACGCTGGTTGCTTTCCATCAGGTTATCCGTTCATTTCTCCCCCCCCCCTTATACATTAAATAAGGAGTACTTCTAATTTATTTCCCCACCGTAGTTACCAAAACAACAAGCGTTTCTACGTGGTGATGTGGAAGAAGAACACGCAGACGTATTGGCAGACCACTCCGTTCAGGGCGGTGGCCGAGCCAGGCATACAGCTCAAACTAGTCAACTCCAAGACTGGACCCGGGAAGACGTTGAGGAATGCTCTCTGGAACACTGACACTACGCCTGATCAGGTAATGTTACTAGTAATATATGATTATAATGCCCTAATAAGAAGGATAAAATGTCGTGGTGGCCCTGAGGTTTAAGACGCCTGCTTCTCATCCATGAGGGCGCGGGTTCGAAACCTAGCATCGGTAAGTATCAATGTGACTTTTTCCGAGGTATATGTACTTTCTAACATTATTTAGACACCACTGACAAGCGGTGAAAGAAAACATCTTGCGGAAATCTAAGCTTAGAATTTTAAATTCTAATTATTTAATTTCTAATTATAATTTTAAAATCACCAACCTGCATTGAGCAAGCGTGGTGATTAATGCTCAAACTTCGTATGAGAAGAGGTCCTTGGTGACCAGTGGCTACATATAGGCTGTTGATGTTGAAGGAGGATGTGATGATCGTAGTCGATGGCTTCAAGGCTATCCTCTTGACTCCATTTCATCAATTGCTGGTCATAGAACTCATCAATTAACGGGGTGGTTTCTAGCCAGTAAGAGTTAGACATACTTACTTCACCTTCGAGTGAAGCCATTGGGTGATGTACCCCCCCCCTCAAAAATGCGTCTTCAATTTTTTTGATAGTCTTTTCATCGCTTAGCTCAATATTTAGTTTGACTCATCTTCAATGACTGATTTGACTGCCTTGTTGGCCTAGTTGTCGCAAGTGCGACTGCCGGGCAAAGGGGTCTTGGGTTTTAAAAAAAAATCTCAGTAGTAGCACGGAGTATGGAATTGTGCCCGGTATAGGCTCACCCTCTATTACACGGGAGTCAAAACATAAATAGTGAAAAGTGGGTGTTGCATTGTACAGTGGTATACTGTGCAGGTGCACCTCTGTCTACCCCTTCGGGGATAAAAGGCGTGATCTTATGTTATGTGTCACCGACTGATTGTATCTACTCGATCCGAGCAGCAACCCTTGATTCGGTAGCCCATCCTTCGATCAATGAGAAATTAAATGAATAATACGCATTTTAATATTAATATAAATGTTTCTGAAGTTAACTTCTTAATAAAAACGTATCGTTTACAGTTTCCGTTTGCATATGGACAACGATCAATGTGGCTTACTTACATATCAGCGAAAATAAAGTTATAAAAATGAATATGAACAAGTTAAATATGAATCGCAAACATCCCCGGTACCGGCCGGCGTCCAAATTTAACAGTAACCTTGTTTATGAGCAAACAGGTGAACATTATCATACTTTTACATTTCATTTACAAATATGGAAATATACCTATTATTGAATTCTCAAATGAAATACGTATTTCAAAATAAGTTATTTTATCTTTTCTTTCCTTTTTTCGTATTTGAAGCTAAATTCTGACCACGACTTTGTACACGTAATTTTTTCCCGTTTCTTTAGGATTTTGGATCTTGTATCTTAATGTTACTGATAGTTTTGCATGATTCTTCAAATATAAATAGTAAATATGTGTTATTGGACCTCATTACAGTTAATATCTCAAAAGGTAATATGTGGAAAATGTTATGGGTATTACATTGATTTGGTTTTGTGTCCTTTACTGATGGGTACCTATTATATACATGTAATGTAATATTGTTTTTTTTTGCCAAATAAAATAAAAGGGAAATCTTTTGATAAAAAGACCGTCTCCTGGTTCTAAGCTCCACTCCACCAATGTTGTGGTGGCCCGGAGGTTTAAGACGCCCACTTCTCATGAATGAGGGCGCGGGTTCGAAACCTACCAACAGCAAGTATCAATGTGACTTTTTCCGAGTTATATGTACTTTCTAACATTATTTAGACACCACTGACAAACGGTGAACGATAACATCGTGAGGAAACCTGGGCTTATAATTTCTAATTATAAGTTTGAAATCACCAACCCGCATTGAGCAAGCGTGGTGATTAATGCTCAAACCTTCTCCGGCTGAGAAGAGGCAGGCTCAGCAGTGGGCATTTATAGGCTGTTGATGATGACTCCACCAATTTTTACCCAAATCGATTTAACTTGAGTTATAAATAGTGTAACAACACGACATTCTTTTATACCAAATAGATTTTAAGCCTAGCTCTAGTAAGAGCAATATATTTAGCTCAGTGACACAACATAAACGTATGTAAATATAATGAATACGGTGTAAATTGCATTGCTACGTACCTACACGGCTTTCAATTTGCAAGCTCTTGCACTGACACGTATCACCGACCTGACACTCATTTAACTGAATTAGAACACCATGTAACTATGTAGCACCTGCCTTGAATAAATTGTGTGTCAGATTTAGTTGCCTGCAATTTGTATTAGGTTACATAATGAAATAGATAAGTCGAGTCAGTATTATAGAAATATGAATCTTTGTTGAAAAACGAAATGTAATTTATTCATTAAGGATTGTTAGAGGGGTTAAATCGATTCAGTACCTACAAGTTCAATTTTGTCACAACAATATTTAAAGTCAAAGCCAAAATCAATTATTTCAATTAGATCAGAAAGGCACTCTTGAACTTCAACAAAAAATTAAAAGTGAAACTATTTGCTCATTGCATGGTGTAGATATCCTATGGAGAAGAACGAGCAAGAAACTTCATAGGTTATAGTTATAGCTTTATTAATCAGGTTCACAATACAATTCTCTAGTTACATAGTTTCAATTAAATATGATTGCCCTAAAAAACTTTTCAAGAGGACTCTATTAGTTTTCTTATGTTCATATTTTTTTACATATTTCTACTCCAGAATTGGTTTTTCAGTAAGCAATCTTTTACAATAAATATAATGAGTCAACATCTGTACAACATCAATATCAATTCATCATTCTCCAGGTGACGTTACTATGGAAAGACCCGCGCAACGTGGGTTGGCGCGAGAAGACTGCGTACCGCTGGCGTCTACTGCATAGACCAAAACTTGGTCTCATTAGACTGAAAGTGTACGAGAACAACCGTCTGGTGGCAGACTCTGGCAATGTATATGACTTCACTTTGAAGGGAGGACGGCTTGGAGTCTTTTGCTTCTCACAGGAGATGATCATCTGGTCTAATCTCGTTTATAGGTGTAATGGTAAGGCTTTTTGCATCTTTGTTTCTTTGAACTCTCTGACTGCCTCGATAGCAGAGTGGTCGCAAGTGCGAGTGCGGGCAAGGGGTCTTGGGTTCGATTCCCGAGTCGGGCAAAGTATTACTCGGTTATTAAAAAATTCTCAGTAGTAGCACGGAGTCTGGAATTGTGTCCGGTATATGGCAATAGGCTCACCTCCTGTTGCATGGGACTCATAACATAAATAGCGAAAAGTGGGTGTTATATTGTACAGTGGCATAATGTGCACCTCTGCCTACCCTTTCGGGGATAAAAGGCGTCGTGTTATGTATGTTATGTCTTTCTTTGAAGTGTACTTCTTCTCACTGTTTCTTTACGAGTGAGTTTGAGTATGATTTTTTCATATTGGTTCTTAGTCATTCCCTTAGTTTTGTTATATACTGAAAGTATTTGTAACTGAAATGAGTCCAGTTTTACTTTTGTCTGTTTTTTTCTGTCCTTCTGTAATTACATAGTTTTCCGCCGTAGACGTAGTAGATAGACATATGTAACTCCCAATGTTAATAATATTTCACAAGAATTCTTTAAATTAGTTCATAAATTCAGTAAATCTTCTTTTCAATTTCCAGATAAAATCCCTTCGAACATAGCGTCGGAGCTATCATCGCGGAACAACTTCGAAGTAGACCACGATTTCGTCTACGTTTAGACAATAACAGTTACAATAATCGAGTTACATTTCCACTCGCTTTAAACAAAATGTACTTTTGTAACAACAGGACGTTGAATAAATAAAAACGTTGTATTTTAAACAAAGGACCATTTTTGTACTAATAAAAAGTACCTAATCCTATGTAAACGGGCGAGTAAAGCATTGATGTTGGAAACATGTTGTGCGATTGTAGCCATTGAAATGTGAAGCTTTTGTATTCAACGTGAATTGAATTTCAATTGTGTGGATTTGTGTATGGTTCATTCTAGATTTAAGTTCTAACATTAATGTAATAAAGTTGACATTTACATGTTTTGTTTTATTTCAACTTAGTATAATACATAAATGTTCACCTCGTTCTCTTTACAGTTTCAAGTTATCTTTAACTGATGAGAATAAAACATTTGGTAACGTTGTTCTTGTTAGCCTTGGCATTTTGTGAGTGGTTATAAAAATCAAGTAGGTATTGATACTTTTCTATTTTTCGTGAAATATAAAACCTCAATGGTGACAAGCAGCCTTAAAATTCTAGAAAGAAAAATATCATTTTCAGATTCCAAAACGTCAAGTGGTAAAAACAAAAAATATTTTAGATTGATTCTATTTATCGATTCATTGACAGCGCGTTTTTGAAAAAATATATAATTTTACAGGGTATTCTTACTAAATATGGATTTCCAGATGGGTGACGCAGAATTTCCATCTGTGGGTTTGGACGAGATCATAAGTGATCTGTCAGAAACAGACAATGGCACAATTGACGATCAACCAACAAAACTGTCTCCCATAGCCGAGGTGTCTTCAGAGCAGATAATGGCCGAGGAGAGTAACAGCGACCCGAAGCTAGAGGTACCGTCCGCCTCGTCCAGCAAGTCCAAAAACATGTCTGTCAACAGCGAGACAAAGCCGAGCAAAGGCATCCAGGAGTTCGTAAGGATTCTGCGGCCTCACCTGCCGAGGAAATCGAAGAGCAGGGCCTACAAGCTGTTGCAGAACATCGCCAAGGGGATCGTGGTGGAGAGTTCATTCCAGCGGAGGATTAAGAAGAAGAGAACACGGAAGCTGACGTACCGCAAGCAGACGCGCAACATCAAGACGAAGTCTCTAAACAGCATGCGGCGCACGCTGCGCAGCCTATACGGGTCGTCGGACTCGTGCCACTCCAACGCGTCCTGTCCGCGCTGCGGGTACACGTGCTGCAGGATCACCAGGTGCTGACTAGCGAATGTGAGGAAACTACGTCTGCTTTTTTAGTGCTCACATGTTTTCTGTATGTGTTGTAATAAAATTTTGTAATTTTTTTAGTCTTTGTAATGTTTTATGATAATTTTAAATTATTAAAATTGTTATTTTTAAAAATGCGAAGGTTTGTTCAATTCCGTTTCCGGTAGTTCAACCTACAAGATAATATTGAAAACTAAACATCACATGGCAATAGGTTCACCCCCTATTACACGGGACTCATAACTTATATAGTGAAAAGTGGGTGTTACGTTGTACAATGGCATTAAGTGCCGCAATGAGCACTGCTGCCCACCCCTTCGGGGCTAAAAGTGTTATGTTAAACTTCACATTTTATTTTTATTTTAAATTAAACTTCACATTTTAGTTTTAAATAACTTTAGGGAGAATCTCGGATTGGGGTGGACTTAATTTGGTCCAGTTTAACCACACTAATACAGGTCTGCGTGTTTACCACTAAAAAACTGCCGTTGGTCGTATCTCCTCAGTTTCAAAGCACCCCCCTAACTGTTTCAGCTGGTATTGAAATACATGGTGTCAGCATTTCGAGCGACGTCCAGTTTCAAGGTCATCTAGAGGATAAGGCCAAATTAGCCTCGAGGAAGCTTGGTGTGCTCAACAGATCGAGGCAGTATTTCATCCCGGCCCACCACCTGCTTCTATATAAGGCGCAGGTGCGGCCCCCCACATGGAATACTGTTCTCATCTTTGGGCGGGGCACCCCAGTACCAGCTACTTCCTCTGGACCGCATTCAGCGGCGTGCCGTTCGGATTGTTGGATGTCGGGATGTTTCGAACCAGCTAGACCTTTTGGCAATGCGTAGAGATGTCGCCTCGTTGTGCATTCTCTATCGCTTATACCACGGGGAGTGCTCTGAGGAATTGTTTGACCTGATACCTGCCGCATCTTTTCGCCATCGACCCTCACGACAGAATATACATCCCCACCATATAGATCGTTGGCAGGCCACAACTGTGCACTTCTTACTTTTTTTTCTGTTTCGCACAGCGAAACTGTGGAATGATCTGTCGTCGGCGGTATTTCCGAACCGATACGACCTTCAAACCTTCAAGAAAAGAGCGTATTCCTTTTTAAAAGGCCGGCAACGCACCTGTGACTCCTCTGGTGTTGCGGGTGTCCATGGGCGGCGCTGATCGCTTACCATCAGGTGATCCGTCTGCCCATTTGCCTCCTATTCCATAAAAAAATCCGAAAATAGTTTGTGAACTGTCTTGGTTCGATGTAGAAACATGAACTGAAATATTTTTCTAGTTTTCATTGTGAAACTGCATAATTTTGGGACAGAGTAGGTATGCCGTGCGCAGCAAACATCTGTTCTGCAAGTTGAAATATTTCTTGTAAGTCAAAGTTTTTCTATTCATGTTCAGTATGAAGTATCTAGAGGAATTGTCTGAACTTTCGTCTTTAAGTCCAAGAACATAGGAATCAGTAAAATAGGGCAAAGCTTTATTATCCAGCAGCGGCTAGAAAAATCACACATTGGAAAAATAACATGAAAAAAAAAACATGAGAGTGTAGTTCGGTGCGAAATTATCACAAGGCTTTGTGGAGGGAGGATAGGAATCATTTTTATTTACAGTAGGTAAGTAGGTAGGGTGTAATTTATTAAATATTAAATTTTATCAATAAGGGACTACTATATTCAACTTAGATTCCGGTGTAGTTTAACGAGGTACCTACATTTATATACTAACAGCGCTATCCTGTAACTTCTCCATGTTTAGGGTCACGTGCGGTGTACGTGCCATTCAGATCGCACTCTTGAATTCACGATTATATACTTCGTAATCTCGAAAACTGTACATATTTTTCGTTATAAAATTTTATAAACTTATAGGTGCTCTTAGTATAAACAGATGCTTTGATGAATTTTAATTTAATAAATATTGCTGAGCTTAGGATATTTCTTCGAAGTCTTCTCTCTTTATATCAAAATGTCTACCTAAATACTTAATAATTACAATATTGTCAGTCTTTTATTTAAATTACTCTTTATATTTCCCATGGTTGGTGTTATAGTCAAATAGGTAGATAAGTCTTTGGTTATTGCTGAGTGCTTTAGGTGACGTACTGAGCTCGATTTCCACCTAAAAGCTAGGTGGCTAACTGCTGCGCGGATTTTCGGTTCGATTCGATTCCCGCATGGAACGACAAATGTCAATCAAAAAGTAGAATGTAGTAAATGGATTTTATATTAAAATCCTTTACATAACGAATCATTATAACGAGTAAATCATATTTAGTTACAGTCGGTATTTACATGTATGTATTTTCAATCATGAGCTATATGTATAAAATGTATTAATAGGTAGGTACATGATTTTAACTGACCACCCATAACCTTCATGAATTCAAATCTGTGCGGTTTGTGATAAGTTTCGATGGAACCACGCGATTAAACGGTGCCCTGTCACTGTCAGCCCGTTTTCAACCCTTGCACTGATTTATTTACCCCCCAGTTAACAAGATTCATTTATCTATTCATGGAATTTGTGAATTGTTTTAGACACCAGCATGCATGTATGGCCGCCATAATAGACTTCATGCTGAAAATTTTCTTTACTTTCTTACACATGACGCGGTGACTGTCATGGAATGCTGCTCATCAATATGAGCCTCTAGCATGGCTTGAGATGAGACGAAGAGTTCCTCGTCAAACCGCATCATCGCTTACCACCAGGCGAGACAGTGGTAAAACGTCGACCCATGAAATAAAAAAAAATACTTTCGTAGGCCGTTTCATATTTATTAATTTTGTATTTTTTTTTTGATTGGACAAGTCCGCCTCTATCTCCCAATACCGCTGCAACTTCTGTAAGCCAGGATATACAGTAGATACAACCATAAAAACACCAGAACACTGAAGTCCGGCGCGTCCCAGGGACATGAATAACTGCCTTGGTTCCCGCAACGGAGTGAATCAGAAGATATTATAAGAGGAGAAGAAAAATAACGATAGTTTCCACTTCCCTCGGTGAATTACTGCAGGAGACAGTGAAATTTTCAAATATTTATAGTTACTTATCTTATATTTTGCTTCCATACACATAATAAAACTTATTTTACCTGGAATTTGTACGTAGGTATTTTCTGCATCACGTATAAATAAGGTATAAGTTTAACAATTCTGTCCAATTTGTTATAATGATACTTTTAAAGTATTTTACTCTTTTAAGATTTCTAAGATTTCCTAGAAACTTCCTAGTTAGGACAAGGAGTAGTAAAGAATTTCAAGCATTTCTTCCTTAAAGTATTTAGCTCCAGGCTCTTTAATTTCCGGACTGCGGCTACCAGGATTCCCTAGTCGATCCCTCGGGAGATTTATCTAATGCCTCTCAAAAAGGTAAAGTAGTCACTTAGCTACATAATGTTATTAAAAAATAATACTGGCTCAATAAATCGGAAAGCTTCATTTTACAATCAAAATCTCGGTACTTAAATAATTTATTGCGATATAGTATAATGATTTTCCCTCAGGACTTCATCCAATATTTATTTTTCATTACATTTATTGGAAATGCTAATTTTACCCACTGTATCTGGTAGTCGCAGTGTTTGCGAGCGACACGCGCGCAATGCGGATATACTAAGGGGATAAATTCGGTAAACATATTGTTATCTAGTGCTGGTTAGGAAACATATGATATTTGTTCTAACTAGAACATTTGATATCCTCCTTTTCATTGTTTTTAACGGTTCATGTAGATTAAATATCAGTTCCGGTTATGACTAGGTAGGAACATCAGCAGCCCATGATAGGACTATGAGATTCCTCTAGATCATCGCAGTTGTATCGTAGATAGAAATAATTTTGCATACGCAACGTAGGTACGTACCTAGGTTTAAGGATTTGTTAGAGACATTTGTACCACCAAGCGTTTGGACAGGATTATTTGAGATACTTTGTCCTTTGTAGTACCTATCGTAGAAAATAAGTAATAGCGATTACTTAGACTTGGCTTTTTATAAACAGTATTAAAAGTCAAATCAAATATTCCTGTGCTATAGTAACAATTCACATAGCTTCAAACTTTGATTCACTTGTTTAAACAAAATCGTCCGTGACACTTCAATAAACAGGCGAGCTCTATTAATTAACATTAGATATTTTTTGCAATTCAAAACCCTTTCAAATAATTACTGGCGGTCGACTGGACGGGCCCGTAAATAATCATTGGTGGCGCAGTTATTAAGTTGTGAAATCGAGCATCTATTACGAGCACCAATAAAGCGCCGATAACTGCCCACTATAGTTTACAGACGATCAACAAATATTGTTATACCACCATTTATAGCACGTTTATTGGTCCTTCAAACTTGACGTAATATACTGAAACACAGTGAATAAGGTTCGGAACACAAATAATAAAACAAACAACTTGTAATATCACAAATATAATATTTATTTACCATTGTACATACTTTATAGATACAACTCAGATGAAGTAGATTTTATCACTCTGAAAAATATTGAACGAATCGAGTCTAGAATAAAATATCCCAAAGGTATCCCAATAAGGACAAGTTTTGTCTTGAATAATTAAAACGTTGTGCTAGAGACAAAGATGATTGAAAGATTTAAAAATGATGATTAAATGTTTGTGCGGGTGAAGCGTCGACAGGTCGGAGGCGCTCGGCTCGCTCTCACAACATTTTGGTAAAAAATAACAACTTTAACATTTACACATATGTACAATTACATTACTCACTACTCTTCGTAAAATATTTCTTATTAGGTAATAAACTATATGGAATAAAATTGGACTATTGATACATACAACTGAACGTCTCAATTCCTCGGTTATATGTAACTCGATATATTGTTTGAAACGAAATTGTACCTTTTGTTACAGTAATATTTATGTTCAGTCTGCTGGAATGGAAACGATAACATTGATATTTTTGTGTGACGATTTTAGTGTGCGTTGGAATATTATCAAACTACTATTTATCATACATTATTCATTTCCATTGCAGCGTCTGAAATATCAGTACCATTAACACAATGTTAGGTATGATTGTAAAGCTCGCGAGTCGACACTATTGTTGTACTGGTGAGGACATCGCGACCGGTAACTGCTCTTTTATTACATCACAACGTATTGTTGACATTGAATGCGAAATATTCAGTAAATACCGTGTTTACGTACTTTCAAATGGCTTTTCCATGTAAGATATAAATAGATGAATAATTACACTACGCAGCTGTAGGCATTCAGAAATAAATGTAGTACGTACAAAATTATTGCTTCCTTAATATCGCCCGACCGAACGCTAGCATGAGATATGGTAAATCCTAGTCATTGTCTACTAAAAGTAAAATAATTTATTGCATCTGTTCACCTTAACAATACATCGATGCTTAACATTACAGTACTCGGTATAATCAACTTATTAAATATACAATAATCACCTTCATACTATTTCATGTTCTACAATTATATACAGAGACGAATGCTATTTCATTGTACTGCAAATATAATAAAAATGGTAAAATTTGCACCAAATATTTGGTATAATTGAACACATTGTGATGACCGTTATTGGGGGACGAAACAAAAACAATATGGATAGCTTCGTCACGGACGACACTCGAATTATATTTCATGAACCGTTTGGTAGGAACGAAGTGTATAATTATTAAAATGCGTTGTAAATTCATATACAAAATTGATTGTCAATTATCGAATAAAATGAAGGAATCGAAATAAACGGGATCATGTATGTAAGGGGCCACATGATGCCGTGGTAGTGTGATATGTAGCAAACAGTGGTAACCCAATACCCGCGCGGGCAGTGCTCACTATACAAAGCTCGAAGCGTAGACTGGTGAACGTCCAACAAGTCCACGTGGCTCCCCGCTACAACTACAATATGTCCTAATTATATAAACGTCAGTACCTCTTATATATCCTTTAACTCTGACAACAGTATATACATCGTGAGCACTAGTATTGTCGATTGTCTTTCCCCTAGTTCTTATTTCTGAACCGTTTATATTCTGTACAATAATTTCTATATCTATACAAATCTTTAAAGTAGGAATATATTCGTTTAAAATCATCCTACTTTACAGATTCGGTGTAAGTGAAACGGGTACGAAATGACATGCATTGGACCATGTATCTACAGACAATATATTAAATAGCGACACGGCGTATTTACAGCTAAGTATAAAATCCTTTCAACGAAGAAGAAATTTAGAAAAGATAGAAGTGAAATTGAATCTTAATATATTTTTCACAAAGTTCATTTTTTTTTTGTAAATAAATACCTACCATGTTAAATACACAGTCTTCGATATTGAAGCGTGAAATGAAGGTTTAAGAGATGGCTGTACTGAGAGATTGTGTGAACAACATTCATTGGTTTGTACGACTTATCTCTAAGCTCCGCGACTGTACAATGAATATTGGTCGTGGACATAAACCCAAGGATACACTAGGGGACGAATGTCTTACGCCACGTATCGCCAGCGACGTTGGGTGAAGTAGCGCTTTTGTCGATATGTCTGGCAAAATCAACGTCGCTGTGGACAGAAGCCGCGAGTTTTCGCCATATTACATTATGTCGGGCGAAATCGGCAGGCTTCGCTTCAATGTCGTAGAACATATGTCCTCTAGTGTATCCTTGGCTTTCCTTCATATATTTCTACACAACCTGAAATACTACGAACGAATCGACAAGTTGTTTACACAACAAAATGTAACAAAATCCCTTAAGTAAGTATATAAAGGTAGTAATTGAAGACATCCGATATGGTAGAGTTTAGAATTGTGTTGAATTCAGTCTGTTAGCATCACACAGAATGAGAGTATCAACTAGGTAACATTGAAAAGGGTCCCAAAAGGCCTACGAAGGGCACTACAAGTTCGTCGAAAGTCTATCGTTAAGTATTTGGTGTTAACAATTATTATGGCTAATACTTCACTAGGTCAGTGCTGCACTGCTGGGGTTGCCTTCAGCAGCGGGGTCTTTGGACGCTTCACTATCTTCTTGTTACCTGTGTATAAGGAATATTTAAGTATTAAAACACGACACAATTACATTACACGCTGTTCATGAGGAATAGTCCCTCTGTGACTCGAAAGTAGTAGTTTTCTCAAAATATTATTTTACGTGAGTAGCTCATAATTTTTAGTTAGGTAATTCATTAATTTTATTTGTTACTTGCGACCCGCCCCGGCTTCGCACGAGTGCAATATGCATGTATTATACATATAAACCGTCCTTAAGAATCACTCTATCTATTAAAGAAAACCGCATCAAAATTCGTTACGTAGTTTTAAAGATCTTAGCATACATAGGGACAGACAGACTCCGTAATGAAAAAATATTAGACACATATTGTTTTTATTTTGTCGTATAATAAAACAATACTTAGATAAAACGAATCTAAGTTGAGAAGTGGGGGCTAAAACGCCATTACTTATTCGTTTCTGTAATAAAATTAAAAAATACGTGTCTAATGATTTAAAATAATCTACCAGACGGATATTAAAATAAAAAATAGTCATTATAATGTTATTTGTTTCCTTTTTTATGGGGAAAATGATTAAATCCGTCTTCCCGCCTTGGATGTGGCGCGAAGTGAGAGGCGATAAAGCGAGTAGACTTCCTCTTTCAACTCGTACTGCAAGTCGAAGTCACAGTAACCTCTTGCGCTTTCCCGTAGCTCTATTTTCGTAGTCATATTTGGAGATTTATTTGATAGTGTATACTGACCGTGTCCTAGCACATGGTCTCAGGCCGGGCGGGTCCGGGCGGCTGCGGCGGCTGGTCTGCAGAGCGCTGTCGCGGCAGCTGCGAGGAGTCCAGTACGATGGATGGCCGCGGCGGCAGGCTCTCTGACACCATGTGTGATAGAGACAGCTCGCTTGAAGCGTTTGTGTCGCCTGTACCAAGGAGATTTGTGTGGGTTACAGTTTTTTTATAACTGTTCAATGTTCATTCACAAAACAATTAAATAAATTGTTAAGTAATTTCGATTTTACAACTTTACGAACAATTATTGTAGGATCCCTATATATGCAAAAGGACAATGGACCCTATATCACATGTAAAAAGGCGATTACTTTATTTAAGACATTTGGAACTCAAAATCCCATTGATAATTCTATTAAACCGGGAATCGAAAACGAGGCTACGTGATTTTAATTTGTCTAGCATGATTCATAGTTTATTTGGTCGAATGAGATAGACTTTTACTGACAATCAGTCTAACTTATTCGAAAGAAAAAATAGAAAAAAGAAAACGTTTCCTAAGACATATCTAATTATAATCACAATACTTATACACCAAGTCTAAAAAAGTATAAAAAAAATATATAATCTAATGTAATGGTATTTGACTAACCAGAAGGCTGTCGAGGTACCGGCAGCAATACTTCTCCACACGCGTCGTCATCCAGCAGCGGCTGCAGCGGCGACGGCAGCTCGCGACTGTCGATAGCTGACGACCGACGCAACGAGTGCCTACCGGGACCGACGCAACGAGTTTAATACAAGTAAGAAGCTATAATTACTAATTTTATTGAGCTCTGTTGTATTGTCACACCAGAACTACAGACCGAGGTATAAAAAAACCAGCCCATCATAGTCCGGCTTTGATGAAATATCGGGCGAATTTTTTAATTAGTTTTAAATTTCGTTACAAAGCAAAAGAACTATATAAGAGTCAAATTATCTGTCAGTTTGAGTCTGTGAAATTAAATTTTTGACTGTAGTATTTACCAATAGGAGAGTACATTAAAGTAAAGAATTTATATAATTTAATGTAAAGAGTAATTCTGAGAACAGTGTTCGAATCACTTACAATTTATTGGTCTGAAAATAGTAACCTAGGTTTTCTAAAATGTTCTTTCTTACTTCTGAAATCTTTACAATGATGCGATATAGCTGGCGAATAACAGGTATTCGGTTGATGACGTCATGCGTAAATCTATCAACAATCCTTAACAGATTTTAACTCTTTTTAGAGCCCCTAGAGCCTTTAGCTCGTCATTCAACTCCAAACTGTAGAATTTTTAAAGAAACTATGAAATATCTTATTTATCAGAGGTTGTGACATACCTCTGGTGCGGCAGGCGTCGGTCGCCGACGGTGAGATGCGAGGCAGCCTGCGGCGGCACGGCGTGGTCGTCCCCGGCGCTGGTGTTGACGCAGACACTGATGCTGATGCCGCTGACGCCGCCCCCGTCGCCCCCCTCCCCGCCCTCGCCCTCCTCCTCCTCGTATCTGTCCAGACCACCCATTTCTAGGCTACAGCACAAACGGCTGTTGTAGTAAAGATCGAGTTCAGGACGCTCACAAAAGCTATAAGCCAAGGCCGAAGCAAGCTCAGCGCTTCTTCACGTCCTTGCTGCACATGTAGTCCAGTGATGGATTATGATGAGGTCCTGTTGTCGAGTCGTGCTTTCCGAAACTTTCAACTGTTACTATGTTACGAAGCTTTTTTTGAGAATGTCTGTGCTCCTTATTAACTTTTAGTTAATGCAACTACTGATTTTATGAGTGATAGAAGAACTGTTTAGAAATACTTACCTTCATAAAACCGCTGAAATTTGTAAAACATCTTATACCCTATAAAAACTAAACTGTACTGTGTCGAGTGTAATACGAATAGTTTCCAGTCGAGAAACCACATCAAGGTTTACATCAAGAAGATTTAATATCACCGCTTGGGCCAACAGTTCGGAAACTTCGGTGTTTGTATCGTCATTATTGAGACCAATATGTCGTTTAACCTCTGAAGTTTGTCGGGACGAAGGATCTATTTAATAATTGTTTTAGTCTTGAACTCGAGACATCTAAATCTGTGGATTAATTTGTGAAGCGTTGGGATTGTTGGACATTGTATTTGGGTGACGAACTTTATCAAGAATTTCGATTTCAGTAATGATTATGGTCTTCTAGTGAGAGGCTATGTGTATGCTGAGCATTGTGAGTAGCAGTAGTGAGTAGCGCTTTACAATATTCATGTTAACATTAGTAACACGTGCAAGATGCTACATACATCACTCAGCTGATACATTGTGATTTACAAATATGCGAATTAACCCTCCACCATGCTTAACAATTACATGTAATTGAAAGCTATGCATTGTTTGTCAGCCTGCTCGAGGAGACCACTCACCGCCTCTGGATCAAGTTCTCCATGATGATGTAGTCATCTTCCTCGGCTCCTCGAAGGTGTTCTTTCTCCATGAACAAGGCGAACTCGGGGTTGGACATCTCGCTGGCGTGGCGGCGACGAACTGAAGGAGAGGCTGCTCGCGCCGGTGACAGGAGGCGGGAGGTGATTGGTGTCCTTCGGTAAGAAATACATTGATAAATCATAATTTGCTTGCTTGTTCAGTATCTACACAAAACAAGCTTCAATCTTTACCTGGGTGTATGTGGTGGTGAGAACAACCCATATACGGTTTCCAGTTCATCAGTGATGCTGGTATACTCGTGCATGGCTAGCAGAAGAGACCGAGGTGCTCCACCCACTCGACTACGACCTGAAGGAATGCCGGTAGCACCGCCTGTGGCTTCCCAACCAGACTGACGGCCTGATACAAAGGAAAACAGTTTAGTAAGTAGTAACTATTAGTTACTATACTTACCATATATTTACCTCTATATACTTACGAACTTTTCAAGCTTCAGATGGTTCATTTACTTGAATTACTCGAGTATGTTTGGCTACTTTCTAGCCACATCGGGACTTATACATACGGTTGTAGCAATAATTAAAATTAGTTAATCAATACACACTTGTTCCAGTGACGGAGTTGTGCACGGAGCCGGCGTCGACGGCGGAGTTGTCAGGCTCGGAGTGTGTCTGACTGTGTTGGCGGCGCGGCGCCAGGTGCTGCGTGGAGTAATGGCCTCCCATGCCGCAGTCATTGCCACCCTCCGAACGCCTGGTAACACCAATTGGCTTTACACCTTTGGTTTAGTGATTGTGTATTTTGTAAAAGATGTGCAGACTATGACTTTGATATCCTTCCACAACAACCCTTTAATTGTTTATTTTCTCAGTTTCATGTTAGCGAAAACTTCCGACAGATTTCCTTACATCAATTTTATAAAATTATGTTAATGCAGTAAAAGTCAGCACATCTTCAGAAGTAAAATAGTAATGGCCCACAAGAGAGTGGCAGAAGTATGTGTGCAGTGGCAGTTTAGTAGAAGTATGTATAAATCTTTGTTGAAATAAATTCAAGTGGTAATAATTTAGAAGTTAGTAAGTAAGTGAAGACAAGACAATTGAAAATACAACAGAGAGCGACAGTGACGTTAGAAGATTAAATAATTATAATGTTGCAATGGTCGTACATGAAATAATTTCGAATTTAGACAAAGCTTACCTGATGACAATGTCTATAACAATATTAGAAATCGGAAAGGAAAATGTTGAACGTGATGATACTGAATATTGTAGAAAATGTTTACGAATTGATTGATTGTGGTATTTTATGGAAACGACAGTTGATTATATAAATTAATAGCCAAATAGAAAGTCCAATATTGTTACGATAGAAGTAAGATTTGATTCGTGTTAAAATGTACAGAAAGACACAGATGCTTTAAATAAAATTGCGTCACATTAAAAACTGTGTCGTTGTGACTGTCGAAAGTAGTGCTTGTTAATGCTAAACATATTGATATTCGAGCGTGTACACAAGCTGTAGATAAGTGAATGTTTATTATATTATACAGTAAGGCAACTACGTCTAACTACATTCGCTAAGAAGCTAAGCCAATCGCCAATGACTCTATTTGACTTACTGTTTCCACAACCGTCTCCTAACAGATGCAAGAAGGTAACAAAAAATAAAATTAAAAACAATTATGGCGATGATAATTTTGGTTTTGTACAAATAAACACAATAATTGCCGATTTTGTGAATGAAGAATATAGAAATGTGTGGGATTTGGTGGCTGTGGATAATGCTAATGATGATCGCATTCACGAAAATCGACAACTTTTTAATATTATTAAACTTATTGTAGTATGTTGCTTTGTTCTTAATGTTACTCCATTCTAACGATTACAATGTATTTCAGATTGCTGCCAACATTAGTGTAATTATTTATTAAGACCAAACAATCAAAGTTTCTGTCCAGAGCGGCCAAAACTCCATCACAAATAGTTCTTTGAAAACAAATCATGAAGTAATGGTTAATGAGAATGGCAATTAAGAACAAAAGGTAACGCGGTCATGCTTCGACGGTAGAACGTAGTGCCGGGGCTTGCACATACTGACGCAAGTGCAAAAATACAGGAAATCTGTTCAAACAATCTTTGCTGAATTAATTTTGGAACATTTTTTATTAATTTAAATTAAAATTCCATTTCATAAATACTTGCACTGTCTTAATGGTATTTATATAAATATGTAAATAAAGTAAAATTGTTTTATAACATATTCGTTTTATGTGTGATTGCAATCATCGGGCAACCTAAGTTAATTTCTTTTAAAAATTTTCATTTGTACCTATGTTTGCATCAACAGAGTTAAACAAAGTACAGTAAAAATATATTGATTTATGCAAATAAAGGAATCGTTAAACAGATCTCTTGTAAAGTCGTTGGGGTTTTTGCACTTGCATTAGCATGCGCTGAACCCGTTGTTGGCACCATCTGGTGGCGACGGTCCTTCCATTACCATACCTATGTTATGTATTCGGAAACTTTATCTAATGTTTCGGTCGTAATTTGGTTGTTCCATGATCATAATGGTATGCACATGCTCTTTCTTCTTTGCGTGATTTTGATGCCTCTATTGATCTCTTGCTTACCTTGTCAGTGACATGGAATTGGTGCCCAGACTACACTGAGTAAACATGTTTAGTGATATTTAGTTAATGTTATTTTTTCGAATGGTTGGGCAGCGTATTTACATTATTATTGCACATTCCTACGTATTGTAAAAAAGTTAATCCAAAGTACGGCCTGAACATTATTGGAACTGAAATGAAACTGGAATCAGTTCCAGACGGTTCATTTCATTGGCTTTGTGAACTATCGTGAAAGTTTTGCAGAGACGTGTAACTCAGTACAGTTTGTACGTACACCTTCCAAATGTAAATCATCATGAACAAATTGTGTTATAGCTTACCGTCTGGTGTTGGCAGTACGCCTGGTTCCTGCAGAGGTGGTACGAGGACGAAGACTTTGTAGATCTGTAGGTACCTCGCGCACTTCTGGCAAGAAAGCGTCATCTGTCGACGATGCAACTAGACGAGGAGGTAGGTATAGATCTAAATCAATAAAGACATTATTTTCAATAAGTCTTCAAATCTATATCGAATTAAATATTCTTGGTGTAAATTAATGATTGCCTTACCTTTCTTCTCATCGCTAGGTTCCGTCCTGTTGCTGTCTGATGACCTCTGCCGGGCTGGCGTGATGGGTGGCTGCGCTTTGACTACGGTTATATTAGGACCTGCATGCCCCTCTCCTGATGATGTTGATATCGAGTCAGCTTCTGGCTCTTTCTCCGCAGCAGCCTCGGGACCAGATTGCGGCATTTCATCCTGATAGAGAGCGTGGATGATAGAATGGGAAGGTAAGCAAATATTATTGTTGCTATTAAAGCCTTGGGTGTAGATTTGGCTGCTTAAACAGTATAACAGAGTAATACAAGGCTTTATTGCTGTTAAGAAGTTGAAATAAAGTTGGAAATAACCAAGCTTAGTGAAACTGCGCCAAAACGCAAAATCTTAAATACAAACAAGTGTAGGTACACCAACGCGAGTTGCAATAATATTGAAAAGCTTTACACAAAACAAAAATGTCATATAGTAAATATAACTGTGATGTAAATATAAATCACTTAAAAATAGTAGCTACCAACAATATGAATCTGTCAAACTAAATATTAATCTGAAAAGCATAAATATTAAATTGATGAATATTTTGAACAAAATATCTGCATACTGAATTAAATAAACGTAAGCATAAACAGTTCACGGTGCTGTCCCACACGACACAAAAGCGTATCTTCTGTACTTACTCGGGTCTGGTTTCAATTTCTCGTAACGAAATTCCAATATTATGTTAGCCAATTAAAATTATATACAGTTAGTTCGGCTGGCTGCCCAAACAAACGTGTTGCCGACACATTCGCGCCGGGGAAGTTAGTGGACAAATAAAATTACAGGCAAGTTGGACGACAAAATAAACATTGTAACAAATGCTAAGCGTACACAGACTATTTTAGTTTTGTTAATTAAAAAGCTTTCATACGAAGTTGCGTGTGTGCGCAAGAGAGGAAACTCAGTTCAATTTTCAAGTGGAACTTTATAAGTTCCATCTTGGTGCTCTGTGTTTTTTAACCAAGTGGTTATGACTTGCCTGATGTATAACTGATATTTCACCATCATCGTCCTATGGTCCAAAATAAATAAATCTCATCACTATATTTCGCAAAAGTTCTTAAACGTGTTGGTAAAACTTAGTTTGTTCTAAACATTGTCGTTCAGTTAGAAATTCTATTAAATTAGTGCAAAGGAGTATGAGCCTTGTGCAAGTTGTTCGGGCAGCTAGACGAGAGAGAGGGATGCTTACATCGGAGGGTCGCGACCTCTCGTCCTCCTCCTGCACCGGTCGCACGACGAAGCGCGCCGCGCCCGTGTCGCTGTCCGACAGCACCTGTCGTGACGTCACACATAGCTGCCTAACTAGCTCCTCGGTACCACGTCACCCGGAGATTCTCAAACACCATCAACTTCTAAATGTTCTATTCTAAAAGCGTCTGATCTTTGTGTGATAGCTATGTGTAAAGTTAATGAATTTGGTGTGATTGAAAGAAATAGTTATTCTTCGAATACAAAAACACGAGTGTTAAATGATTTCTTGAGGAAATAATTCCAGTTTCACGTAATTAAGGACAAACATCAAGGAATTCAAATTAAACCTTGATTTATAGTATCTAGTAGTTTAATCCCTGGGGATGTAACTCTACAAGTTTGCACATCAAACGAACAGTTATATAGCCATGTTGATCTTATGAACGTTGGAAGTTCATTTCTAACAGCTCAACATATTTAACTAATTAGAGAATATCTTGAAGTGGTTGAAAATAATGAATATTGTGCGGTTCCGAGAAAATGTTTGGTATAAAAACAATTAAACGTTGTTGGAAACTAACTTTGGAATTGTGGAAACTAATTTTCATTCCCATTTCAAAATTTCAGTTATAAATTCTCAAGGTGAATAAACTCCAAGTTGCAAAGTAGCACTGCTACAAAATACAATACCATACAATTTGGAGAAGTTAAGCAAAGTTTTGTTTAACTTCAGAGAAGTTTCTAATGCACGAGGAGTTTGGATATTATGTTAGTCCGAGATGGACTTGTTAATGCATAACTTGATGCTGTACATTGCATGTTAATGTGGAGTGTTACTACACTGCATATTGATAAGGTGTCAATCTCCAAATGACGCTCAACCAAAGTACACTAAAGCGGTAACAAATTGCCAGATGTTTGACGAGACGTTCCATGTATTGTTATGATGTTGTAAAAACATGGAAGACTGGTAAATATCTGTCAACCTGCAGGTTAGGTGGGGGACACAAACATTGAATGAAGGACAAAAGTTCAAAATTAGCATTAACGAACGCAAGACATCGACATAACATGCTGATGATGAAACAGAAAACGTTGCGATTAGTGTCCTCAAGCATTCTTGTTGAGTTCAATATCAACAACACATACTGAAATTAATAGAGACACCGAAAACAAAGATCGAAAGAAAATTAAACAGTTATCCAATTTAGAAACGATCTTTAACTATACAGTTATCTAGAAAAATGTAACTTGTGCCTAAATACCGTTGGAATCGAACCAAGTCAATACTTAAGTGAATATATCGAATAATCAAAAACGAATTTAAAGTAACGAATAAAAATTAATCTGAATACTTGTGTGAAACATTTTGTCAAAGATAACTACAGAAACATACCTACTAATAAAATGTGTGAGTCAATATTTTTACTGGATCTACTTTGGACTTACCTCAGATCGGTCACTGGCGGTCCGGAGCCTGGCGCCTCCAGCTTGGAAAGTAGGAGGTGGAGGACCGAGGGTGTCTGTGGATCCTCTGTTCACGAGAGAGGGATGCGTAGCCATGAACCGGTGGATCACTGCTAAATGATTCATCGTCTGCTCCGCCACGTCTTCTAACTTTCGTAACCTAAACTCTACACTCTGTAAACATAATTATTGTTAGTAGTAAAGTTTCAAAGATTTATTTGTGTTTTATTTTAATTATGTTGCTTACCTGCACGGACTGTATTTGGCAATTAGCTTTTTGATTCAAGTCTTCCATTTTGGTCGTGATATGTTCTACCCTATCAGTGGTGTTTCTCACTCTCTCTTCTATCGAATTAGACAATTTAACTTCCTGGAATCAAATATGTGTATTAGGATTTAGATCATTAGATCCGTTATCATCAACCTCTCTTAAATTTGAAGGAACCCTTAAGATAGGTACCACTTAACGACATTTGAGTTTTTACCAACCTCTAAGTGATACCTAATAGTACTTTTAGTTAAGAGATGGTTTAAGGGTGGTCTGTGAAAGCGGCCATTAGATACTGTATATTAAAGGTGCTTGTTAAACTTACTTGTTCCCTAAAATATCCTTCTACACATTCCTCTTCAAAATCATACAACCGCTCCATATCTTCCTTTTCTAAAAACAATTTGAGCCCGTTGTCGTACTGAAACCGTTTGTGCGATACGTTCCTGGTCACCCACTTGCCTATTGCGTATATGTGGCATAACGTTATCAGCGGAGGTGGCAACACTGGCTTCTGTTCGTATTCCATCACCACTGTGAATCTTTGGAACATCCATACCTGGAAATGGGTTGGCTGATTTAAGACACGTAATAGAAGTTTGGACTTTAGAACATCTTTTCAGCAGTAGTTCGGATAAGAATGATTGATTATGTTCTCGATAAAAAAGTTTGATTAAAAAGGTTTTTTATTCAACAACAAAATGTTTGAGAACAAAAAAGGACAAGTGTAACTTAATATTACAAAGTTAAATTAACAACATTTATATAATTGATTACGAAATAAATCTAAAAAAGGGGTCTTGGGAACAACATAATACAAAACATCTACCATGCAGAATTTGTTACAATCACTATTAACTGGGGTAATGGACCCTGATTGTAACAAATTACGGAAAAAAGCAAATTAATGTTACAAACTTAGTTTTCCGTGCCATCGGTTGTATTATTAAAACCTTCCGAAACATTTCCTTGAAGGACTTGCAAAATAATGTAGCATGTTTAATTATGTGATCATAGATTTACAACGACGGTACGGACAACTAAAAAAAGCAAATAAAGAAAAATAAAATAAAAAACCTGATGCGAGACTTCATTGACTTCATTAAATATATTGTTAAAGACTGCAATGAGTAGGTTTATGAGTAAAATGTTCGCGACGAGCAAGTACATGGTCATCACGACGGGAGAGATCCACCTGCCGGTCACACACTTGGGCTCGCCGGGGTTCTTCCCGCACTTAGGGTCGATGTCTGGAGCGAACACCTCGCCATACAACATGAAGTACGGTTGGAAGAAGATCTACGGACAACGGGAGCTCAAACTAAAATACCACTCAAAATAATATAAAAGGAATAAGTAACTCAAAATAATAAAGTAAAAATCCAACTTAATGTGAAGGGAAACTAAATACTAATCAACTGAACCAAAATAACCCAGGTGCTAATCTACTCAGGATGATTGACAATACCTACAACTACAGTCGACCATTTCACTTTGTATTAGAGAATAATTTCTTTTATTTTCTCTAAATTTAGTTACCACAAAGACTTAGTTACCTCTAGAGGTATAAAAAGGATCTAGAAAATACAAAAGCAATTTTTCGTAATACAAAGTGAAAATGTAGTGTCTACTGATTAAGTCGTCGGGCTCCAACCGTAACGTAATCAAATCTCGCAACAGGCACTAAACAACATCGAAGCTACGACAGATATCGAGTTTGCCGCAAACCTGATGCGACACACCGTTGACTTCAATGAAGATGTTATTGAAGACGGCTATGAGAAGGTTGACTAGTAAAATGTTGGCAATGAGCAAGTACACGCTCATGACCACGGGTGGGACCCAGTGGCCCACGCGGCACTCCTCGAGGCCGGGCAGGCCGCAAGGGGGCGCCATTTGTTCAGCGAACACTTCTCCGTATAGCATGAAGTACGGTTGGAAGAATACCTGCAAATGTTAGTAAATATGGATGCTAGTTTTCATAAAAATAGTGTTTATGGGTTCTTGGGTTTGTTAGTTATTTACGATTTTTCTTCAATAACGTGAATATGAGACGAAATGATGTATTCTGAGACCTATAAGACATCCCGGTGGATGGTAGTTGCGCTTCAATATAATAACAATCAAAATACATTTAAGGCTCAGTCAAAATAATGGTTAAAGCCGAATGTCATTAAGACCTGACAAAATTATATAAGTTACGAAAAAACTTAGAACAAATATAAAGTGTTTGAATAATTTTTAAAATTAATTTTACTTGAAGATTTTGTTATTTGTAATTCTATTTCAAAACCTTTATTAATTTTAAATCAGAATTTTATTCACAATGATATTATATTGTTTATTAGAATACAATTAATGGCATTTTACTGAAACATGTAGAAAATTGTTATTGTTTAAGAACTTTAATAGGTAGTGTCACAATAAAATGTAACGACTTACTTCTCTAATAAGATGCCAGCTTGCTTCTTCGTCTGGGTACAAAATAGCTTGCCGCGCGACTCCGAACGACATTAGCACCACCAGTAATAGCACCACGAAGTATATCATGTTTTTTACCATCTTACCCATCATTGTGACTAGAGGACCTGAGTATACAAAGGAGGAAAAAGATTAGATCCACTGAAGTTATTTTACTATTAGACTTGGAATTATATTATGACACAAATTAATAATCGTGGAACGGATCAAAATCGGCAATGTTGATACATGGACAAGATATATAAAAAGATTTTTGATAAACGAAGACGGTATTAATTAACATAAAGTCTTCTAGAAAGAAATCTTTAAGGGACAAGGTATATAGTGATGAATTGATAAACAAAGAAAAGAAGTTCAACAGGTTCTCACCTAAGTACTTATTAACTCCCAATATATTCAATATTCTTAAGTACCAATAAATAATATCGACGCAGTAGATGACCCTGCCGACGTCCATGGACACGGTCCTGAACCTCAGAGTCAGGCCGACCAGGAAGAATATTATGAAACCCGCGTCGTACGTGTTCCATAGATTCCACGCCCATACGCTGAACTTATGTCTGAAATGGAACGTGTTCATGTAGCGTGGCATAAGATCCTGGAATTTTAAACGGAACATTGGTACAACATTTTTGGAAATGTCAAAACCATTTTTGAACCGAATGTAGCGGTGGTCTGGAGGTTAAGACGCCTGCTTCTGATGCATGATGGAGAGGGTTCGAAACCTTCCAACGGCAAGTACCAATATGACATTTTCCAAGTTATAAGTACTTTCTAAGATTATTTAGACACTAGTGACAAACGCTGAAGAGTTTTTCTTCATCGTGAGGAAACCTCGGCTTATAATTTTAAATTATAAGATTGAAATCAATAGCCAACAATGCCTGGTGAATAATGCTCAAACCTTCTTCGTGTGAGAAGAGGCTTTGCTCAGCAGTTGGCACTTATATGCTGTTGATGTTGATGAAAAATCGTTTTTACGTCATTAATAATACGCCAACAATACCTTTGGAGTTGCGTACGATTTCGTATTTTGTCTTTATTTGAGCTTTAAGCATTACATTACCTTTCCACTAGCATAGTGGCTAAATATGCCTTTTAAGGCCATCCAATGAGAAACTAACTATTTCATTTTAAAAATAATCATCTATACTATTTCTTTAACCCTTAACCGGAATCGTTAAAATGTTCTACATTACTGGAATCGTGGGTCCAATCGGACCCAAGAATTAAATTACTTATTTTATTCAAAAATAATGAATTTTCCACTTAGGTAAGTTAACGTCATAATTGAAATAAGTTTTAAGTTGATTAAGAATCAACTTTTATTCATTAAAATGTGGAAATTATCCCTTTTATTGTACTTTATATCTTAGGTATTAAATTTGGTAGTCTTTTTTTAGTGTCTTCTTTGACCGTCTAAAACAAAAATAAAAACAAAATAAAAAAACAATTTTACACTTCTAAGGGGTTTTCCGTGTCTTCCCCTTAACAAAAAAATTAATTATTTGTGAGATCAATTTAAACTAAAAAAAATGACAACCTATTCTATTCTAGAGTACAATTCTACAAACTATTCTAGAGCTGCTAGGTGGTGTCTAAGTGGTATACACTTAGGTATATCAATTTTTTCCTCTGAAGTAAGTGTTGGACGACAGTGAAGTATCATCCTAACTTTCTTCTTCGACATTGTGGGCAGACGAAGACTCACTTGAGTGATCAGTGGCTTCATGCTCCGGATTTTCATTGTCACTTATGTTTTCCTCATCACAGGGTTCAAAATCGCTCAAAAGTTCTTATTCTAATTCAATTTCATCTTTCTCTAGGTCCTGGATATATTTTTCCAGCATTTTATGCGCCATTTTTTCAAAATAGTGTCTAATACAATAATATAATAAATATAAACATATTGAAAAAAATAACGTAACTGGAATCGTGGGTCCGATCGGACCCAACGATGGCTCAAACTTACACTTCCAGTGAATTTAAAGCGCTGAGTGTCCGGCACCCGCTGCATCTAGCGACCTAATGAGATTAGGTAGGCGCGCAATAGTGTTGGTGCGCGCGTTTCGAAAATAAACGCTTTTTTCATCGACGTCGGGTCCGAACGGACCCACGATTCCGGTTAAGGGTTAATATGTTCATACTTTAAAGTGAATATTCTTACTTTCGTTATACCTTTGTTAATTTTCTATAGGTATGAACATTTATACATACATAGTGAACTGCAATTAGTTTTGATGAGTCAATCACGCGATTCAGATTAAATTGATAAAATATTTTAATAACTAGTATTCACCTGTACACGGCCATCAGATTAACACAAACGCGAACCACTAATTTGCAAACAGAATATAATTTTCTAGATAAATCTTAGATCTTTGTTATAATATAATAGACATATAAAAAGAGTATAATAATTTCTATATCAAAATAATTGTTATCCCAAAAACCGTAGTCGTAAATTTACGGAGTTACAATTTATTTAGTATCCAAAGTTATTATAACTCGCTTAAAACTGAAATCAGATATCGTTTCGAAATGTCAGAGACTTTCAATAACAATAACAATCTAGTTTGATAACGAGCCAGAAATTAATAGTTTTTGATTTGCTAGTAACAACGGTTCGGTATTTCATTATAACTAAAATTCTCGTCGCTACAATATTGGAATTGATGTTAGTTTCGTTAAAATGGAGTGGATACCTTTTGATTTAAATTCAAATATACAAAGGCAGTTTGGACAAATACTTGGAATTTGAAAACATTTAAATAATAGCAATTTTCATTACAATAAGGATAGGATCCTTTCCTTGAATGTTATAGAAAAACTGTGACTGAATATTTTCTTCAAATTCAATACAACTTTAAAGTAATTTAATCAAGTAATCAAATATTTGTTGCATCTATAATATACACATACAGGTGGTTAGAAAAATACAAATAGTAACAATTATGGACCCTGTCGGGCACAGCAACATTCAAAATTGGTAGGAGAGAGGAAGGGCGTTTTGTTAGATTACTATTAATTTGTTGTCTTGATTAATAGTAAGTAGGTAAGTATATATGAACATAGTTGTTCGAGTATGTTTAGATAAAAACATGTATAGGTGGAGGTACAATAAAATGTTACAACTTACCTAATAGCAACAGGTTCGGACGTAATAATTTCTCTTATCTTCTCACATAAGAACGTTAATATATAACATATAGAATAAATCTCTGGCCAAGACGGCGTCGGGTCCATTTTCACTAATACTGTATATGTAAACATCAATAGGAACAATATGTAGGCTATCTGAAAGGAAAAAACACGTACCTATATTAGAAATAGAACATAATCCTACTAATATTATAAATGCAAAAGTTTCTATGTTTGTTTTTTTTTTATGGCATAAGCCGGTAGACGGACCGCCTGATAGTAAGCAATCGGCGTTACAAGTGCGTTACCGGCCTTTTGGGGATTGTTAGGGATTCGGGGATTGGGGAGATTCGGGAAAGGGGAGGGGTAATTGAGCCTCCGGTAACCTCACTCATACGACGAAACAACGCAAGCATTGCTTCACGTCGGTTTTCAGTGAGGCCGTGGTATCACTCCAGTCGAGCCGGCCCATTCGTGCCGAAGCATGGCTCTCGCACACTTACTCCTTCACGTCAAAACAGATGAAGGGATCAGGATGAAATTTGGAACAAGGGTAGATTATGGTATAACATATATTATGAACTATTTTTATCTCACGAGAACGCGGGCGAGCAGCTTGTACCTTGTAACTAGTTTGGCATTATAATCGTAGGCACTGAATTAAATATACACGCTACGACATTTACAAATAAGACCTTTACCTATATGTTAACTAAGGTACTTGTACTCTAGTACATGAGCTAATTGCATTTATAACTAGAGGGGGGTTAGTACGATGAATCTCCGTCGACTTTGTATTCAAATATTGTGTGTGTTATCCTCCCTAGTAGTCTGATCTTAAGGTTTTAACTCGACGAGTATAGACTCGGGAATGCTCATAGTTCGAAGAATTATATTGTTTATTACTCAAAATGATACTTAAATGGAAATTACAAAGCAAGCACGTCAGATATTTCAGTAAAATAGCAGCAAAATATGTTCTGTGACAAAAAATAAGTTTATTTTATAAGAAAATAGAAAAATAATGTAAAAACGAAAACGAATTCATCTCAAATACAGATAAAAATACGCTTTGACTTAACTTGACACGGTAAATTGCATTTTATTAAACTCCTCTCTGGGTTTCAATATTCAACAAGCTTTTTTATTGACTTCAGAAAATTATGCTCAAAGGTTTAATATTTTGTTCGAATACTTTACTGCTGTAGTTACTAGACTCGTTTGAGTTTTTTTCTAAATTACTGTAGCATTTTACTCTGTTGAATTGATGTTTACTGTTAATACATAGTTAGCTCAGATATATATAGCGAAGCGCTTAAGTCTAGTGTCTTCTTGTTTAACACTTTTATAAGAATTTGAATGGAAGTATATATTTGCCAAATTTTCATATTTGTGATTTGGCAATGCAAGGTTTTTTAAAAAGGAAAACTTGGGAAAGTCTACTGGGAAATCCGTTAATAGTATACGTTGAAAGTCGGCTCCTATATAAACGTAAGGCTATTCGCAATACAGCCGTTTATTAGTTCAATAAAAGTGACGCGGAAGCGAAATGCGAAAAGGCGATTACATCGGGTGGATATTGATTTTGTCATTTACCGCTCACTGCAGCAAACATACAGGAAACTGACGGTAATTTACATTGATACCAATACGTATGCGAAATTACAACGAGAATGTTTTTAAATGAAAAAGCATTAAGTAAATATTATTTATTAAGGAAATTGGGAACTTAGGTAGCCATGTAGGGTACCATACACGTTTGATGGTATTTGTTACAAAATAAAAAGGTAAAAGGAATTAGTACTGTGTATATTTGACGTATACAGCGCGCTACAAAGAAAGCTGAAATTAATATTTACTCGTTTAAAGTCGTGCTATATTTCGTAGCTAAAGGCACAGTTTCGAGCGTCGCAATTTAGTGCTTTAAATGGAATGTAAATTCTACGTTAAAACTGTATTGCAATTACAAATTCGCTTCATGTCAAAGAAGTCGTTTCAGTGAATTGAAGTTGTTCATTAAATGGGAGCCCACTGGTACTTTTAGTATAAGTATTATATTTATAGGTATCGATTAAAATAAAAATTGTGACAATGTTTATGAAGAAAAAAATATGGTAGACAACAAATTACACCGGCGAAGTGCTTCCTGCAGGCAATGGCATAGAAAGCAATGTCAATACAAGAATAACAAAGAGAAAACAAAAAAATCGGGAAATAATAAGGACAAAATTATGCTAATCCTACAGAATTAGCTACGTATAACGGCAGTCGGCAATTTTTCCACAATAATTGCTGTGGGAACACAGTAATGTGAGATTCCTTTATTCTCTGGATAATAAAAGAACGAATATCACGCGTTTTCGGAAACAAGGAACCTGGCCGTCGAAAATTATGGGCCTTTTGTGTACAAATTGTGCTTTATTTTTTGCTGGATTAATGTTTTGGTAACGATTTGGTCGAACGAAACTTATTGTTCTAATAATTAAAGTAACTTACCGAATCGGCCCAGAATTTGGTGATGGGCGCCGTGAAGAACTCGTATATCTTCTTCTTTAGCCTCAGCGGCCTCATCATTTTGTCTTCAGGCGCGTGGGGCTCGGGCAGCTCTCTATACGAGGGTTCCCACCCTATTTTACCAACTTTTCCGTTCTGATCGACACGAGTTTCGCATTCGGCCCCTGAGCCAATCAACGCCTGCTTGAGTCCAGACAAAATCGTATAAACGTTACAACAATATGTTCACACCGTAATAAAATAGAACAAGACTTGTAATAGAGAACATTCATAGTAAGCTTGAATTGAATAGATAACAGTGACATAGATTTGAACGTTTGCAGCATCATTCTCCAAAGATCAGGCTGAGATGACAACGAGTATGATGGCAGTACGTTAGTACAAGGTCAAGACGCAAGCATGACAATAAGCAGAATATTGATACTAACAACACATACAATATCCAAGTATAAGCTCACGACATCACATCAATCAAGTGTATCCACGTTTAAAGCTGAATCTTAATAACATCATCCATATTTAAGAAGAGAATCGTAAAATAATTGTAAACGTAAAAGCGTCGAACGATACACGAGCAAATGCAGAAAATATCTTTAGAATATTGAGACGAGCTTGAGAGATAGGAAATGAAAATAATAACAAAATCTAACTACGGTCGGTCCACGTCGTCGTAAATTTGAAATTTTGTATAGGACAGAAAATTTTATTGTCACAGTTTAAGCTCCACCTCGGATTTATTTTAATTAAAAACGATTTAATTAGTGTCGTCATTATATTTTATGGCGGCACTTGGCAGTAAACCGCTGCGAATGTTTAGAAATTTCAAAGCAACCGTTTCTTTACAAAAATGTTCCTTACAATTTTAATATCGATGTCTGAGTAAATTAGAAAGACGTCGTAAATTGAGCTTCTTTAGAGGGTCGTCTTGTACGAGTATGTACTAAGAGTGCTAAAATTCAAGGTGAGCTATAAACGAATGACGTGGCCCATAAAGACGGGCGTAAAGACAGCAAGGGGGTGAACTGAGAGGTTGGAAGTTTACGGAGCGCCACGGAAGCCTACTTTCACAGAAAGCCATCGACGTACCGCTCAACGAAAATGTATTTGTGTGTGCACTTTGATGTAATACGAACACAAGAACGTATATTGTGTAAGTGTAAAGAGTCCATGAAGACGACACATATAAATTACTGATTGTGCGAATTCAATGCTGTTGATTGTTCTTGTTGTTTCTTCAGCTAAACACACATTTAATTAAGTGCATTTTGGAAAAATGGTGTTTAGTGGAACGTTTAAGTTTTTGAATCTACATTTCATCTAATGTGTAGTAGGTAAATTAGTGCGGTTTGTGTTCGTATCACAATAGACCAGTCGAGTCTCAAAGACGCGTCTACCTTCGTAGCTTTACTCGGCTGTCCAGGCGGTATTATCTTCTTGATAGATAGCGTACGCCTTTTTGCAACTCCAACCTACATCGCAACAATCACATAATAATTTATTCTAACAAACATTATACCACTAAATTATTATAAATCACTATTGTCCTCTTCGCAGTGAGTGAGCATGGAACATGTGCGATGTGATTAATAATTCCACCACCGTTTGTAACAAGGATTAGTCTCTTCACTCAAATACTTTACTTTTTGTTATGCACGTTATAGTTTTAATAAGCTCTCTCTTGTACAGTCGGTTTCTTTAACAAGATCTTTATCTTATCAAGAAACTTTCTGTAGAGGAATAATGAATTGAAAACACAAGCAAAGAGACAATGTTTATCCCTGTTGAGAAAAATGTGTAATGTTTGCAATAAAAGTGACATAACAAATGGCCAACGTGACGTCATACTTCCCATGTGAATGGTAAAACTAAGATGGTGAGCAACAAAACACGAAAGCTTACCTCAGCGTCGTTCGGGTCCTTCGTACTTCTATCATCCTCGATGCTCTCGTTCTCGAGATGTTCCTCCTCGGTCTGCGGCATCAGCTGCAGTTCTTCCTTCGACTTGAACTCCAGTTGGAGAATGTACAGCGGACACAGCAGGCTCAGAATTACCTTCACACATCACGACAAAGCCGATGTGGCAAAGGAAACGTTCGTCGATGCTAACTCACTTTGACTTAAGCGGAACATGCTATGTTTCTAATTGAAACGGGGATTCGACGCCGATTATGTGCAAGTGAGATAGCAATATACTTCTTTATAAGTAACCAAATGTTGTATGCATGTCTATGAGTCGAATTAAATATTTTAATGTTATTAATTTGACACACATGCCTTAGTGAAAGTTATGGTTTTGAAAGGTCAAGTTGAACTTGCATAAATCGGCGTCAATAAACAAAGTGCATGCGAAATTCCAAATGATTATAATATATAAAGCGACTCATTGACACACAGACATCAAATTATGTTTACAATCGAATTCCGCTGTTATTGTCTAAGTTATGGTCTAACATCAAAATCTACTGATCGTGCCCTTTACTACTAACAAGGGAGACGTGTTACATGTTGATGTCACTCCCACGTCTAGTGGAGCCCTCTAATGGATCTATTCGATATTACTTGGAAACCCATTGCTTACTACATTTGTTGTATTTCCCTCATGCGACTAAAACACGTCTCCTTTATTTTCGCATACTGTAACAGTGCTGATGACAAGGTCTGTGCGTTAATAAGATGAATGACTAAAGAAAAGAAATAAAATGAGTATGAGTGTCATTTACCTTTAAATTGGTGTTCTTTCTTGTTCTGAGACCTCCCATCCATAAGTCAGCCAGTATGATTTGTGAGCAAGGGTGAGCAAGTAACGCGCGGTGATTGGCTGCGACGGCGAGGCTGAGACAGGTTTGTCCAGACCAGTTCTGGAGCTCGCACGTCAACAGCTGCTGCGCTTGGTCGTCGTCCTGACGATAGCAGTAGTCTAGAAGCTCCAACGCTACACAAAGACGATGAAAATTTAAACGGCTCTTGTAGAAAAGTCGTTAATTAAAGTTTACTGTCCAGCGTATTTAGGTCTCCTAGACCTCACGTCCTATTTTATGGTGCAGTTAAGTTTATAATAGCTTGCAGCATTAACTCAGTAAACGTTTGTCACTTAAACTTTAATGACCGTACAACAAGACCTTCATTAACTGTTTAAGATTTATGTAGATACCTATTTCTAGAAAGGTTTTACTCGGCACGACTTATAGATAAAGTTTTAAGTTATACAAATAAGTTTCGGTTGAAATTATTCATTACGAATCATAAATATTCCTGTGGCTTCAATTCGTACAGCTGGCAATAATACACGTGGCTTAACTTGTGAACTCGTTTCGTCATATTCAAGAAAGCTACGATTTACAAAGTTTTGATAGAAACTGGTCATAAAATAAAACGTGATCAAAACTTTGGTAGATTGCGGTAACTTTATCGATTATTTTATGAAATTTACGTTGGTATTAATTTTGACAAATATGTATCTTTACAATCTTTAGCATCAGTACTGTACCGATGTGAAACTCATTTCAAAACTAATAGTCATCTTTTTATAAGAGAGACTGCAGATCAAAAAATTAATATCAGACAAAAGTCTCAAAAGCGAACGTAAAATAAGGCTCCATTGGATGAATAAAATACAATTTAACAAATATTTATATTACTATTTCTATACTGAACTTTGTCTCATCCATCTAAAAGTGATATCAAAAATGGTAAAAAAAACAAAGGAAAGAATTTTCAAACTCAAATTATAATTACAAAAAAGGGTCACATTATCATCTACCATGGTGAACATACTGGTCGGGGTAGTTTTGTATTTGGGTGTCTAATTTGTTGTACTACAATTTTAGTTAATCATTCAATGTCCTGTACTTATAACCCGATCCCAAACCCTGTATTTAGAATATCATATTATGGATAACTATACTTATTCCAATGACGGGTGTAATGAAATTGTCGACCGATTGTACTACCGGTTCGACTCCCCAGGTAGACACGGACCCTCTGTTATAGTACAAGTAATTTTGTACCTAAGCAATGATCGACGAAAACTTTGATATCGCGATTCAGAATATTTCTTTGTGACACGTACAAAAGGACCAGATGTATTACGTGTCGTATGTGTTGTATTTGGTCCTTTCGTACACAGATTTGATATTTGTCTAAAAATAATGATTTTATTGATATTTAAATCAATGTTTTCTTTAAATAGTCTTAGAAATATTCTATAATATTTAATATTAATTTCAAAGTTTACAAAAAGTATAAATGATCGCGGGATTCGATCTTCAGCTCGATTGCGATAACACCAACTGCCGTACCAAAAGGAAAACGAAGTAAGCGTTGTGTTAACAAGTGGTTTTGAAAATAGCCTAAGATGATACTTAATTGTTGAAGACTTTCTTTACGATAGGTCTAAAATGACATAGAAGTGACCAGGTAATTGAAAAAAGTCAAAAATCTTACCTTTATTCTCAAACTCCTTGCCATAATGCCTGAGTTCTTCATACACTTCAGTCTCCATATCATCCTCAGCCGCTTCGTGCGCCATGGCCTTGTACAGCTTACAGGCTACTAGAGACTTGGCCAACGCTTCCTCACCGTGCGTCCACATCAGCAAAGCCATTTGATGTCTTTTTGTTAATACCGCCCACATCTATACCGAAAGTAGATATTTTCATGTTCAAATGTAATTAGGAACAGTCATATAGTAGATTTTGTGTGTTCGTGAAGGTATTTTGGTTAATCACTAGCTATGTAATTTGATTACTTATATTTGTTCCATTATTAGTTGAAGGTCAGGGGTTCGTTCAAAGTTCGTTCCAAGCTAATGAGGTCTCGCGTTTTTTTGCTCACTAGATGGCGTTACTGTAGCATGAGGTCTTGTTTGACCAATCACAGTAGCTGTCAAAAATTGAATGTCCAATGGTTTGGAACTAGCGACTAATCTATTGGACAACATACCTTAGCCCTCTCACTAGCACCACTAGCCACTAGCGGCGAATTAATACGCTTTAGTCCTCTCTGATTTAACAGAGGTTTGTAAAATACTTCAGTTGTTTTTACTTACAAGTAATTCATTAAAAGGATAGTCGAAGAGCGCCATCTCAGTGGTGACAGGCATGAAGCCGGTGATGAGGGAGAGTCCACCAGCGTTGTGTCTGGTGAACGAGGCACTGTTCCGGTGAACGTTCACACTCTTGTTCATCACCTTCGCGTAAATCGGACGGAACTTACGTCTTGTGTAGTAACATCTGGTAAAATATAACACGTTTTAATAAACAATGAATACACTAGAAATAAAGATGATTATAAACAATCTCAATAAAAAACTTCATAAAATCTTTAATAATAAATTGGACAAAAACATGAAAAGCAGAATAACATTAAAGTTTTACGAGAATTTACATTGGCAATGTTAGAGAAGTTACGATAGATATTTTTTAAGCAAAGTAATAATACTGTTTAAAGCTTTCTCTTTATTGCACTCCGAGATGTATACTTATAGTTGATTGCAAAATTACTTCGCATAAAGTTTTAAAATATCTATTCAGAGTAAATATAAAAGGTTTTCCAAAAATCCTTTGTAGTATAAGTGATATTCTTACCTATAGGCCCCACCCATCAGCTTGTTGATAACGAGTCCAATATCATGCAGGGTATAAACGTACCCTCTTGGTAAGTGTGGTCTGACATCTCTCAGAATGTACCTCAACGTGTTACTGGGCCCACTCTTTGTATTATAAAGCTCTTCTAGTCGAGGGATGGTTAAGAATTTGCGCATTGAAACACCATTTTCCAGCAGCAGTTTCACGAAGTCTATACGATCGTGTTCTAACGCCTGCATCATAGCCTCGTCGAGTGCACCTGGGACAATAAACTTTAAGTGAGCATCAAGAGCTGAAATGTTCATGACAAAAACGATTTCTTCACAGTATATTAGTATCTATATATATAAAAAAGAAACCCCGTTTGCCGTTGTCACGATACAACTTGAGAACGGCTGATTTTTATGTTGTGTTTGTTATTATCAGGAAAAGGTTCTTATGACAGAAAAAGAAATCCTGGAAATCCTACAGGAACCGGTGAAAACGGGATTGCGCATACGAAGTCGCGAGCAGAAGCTAGTTAAGAATAAATTTTCTATTTGAAATTCGACATTACAGAAATTAACACACAGTTTAAAATCCGATTGTATTATGTTTAATTACAACAAACTGTCTCGTTAAAAGGAACATAATTGAAGTTATTACCAATTTTGGTATTATTTTCCTATACTGGCATTCAGCTTTAATTGGAACTAAATAGTCCGTATTTAAAGCTACGCATACCCGAGTAATTAGCTTTACGAGGTTCAGGGTAAGTTACGATTTACCTGTTTATACTTAGCTAGTTTCAATCACAAACTTGTTGGGGATACCTACATCTACTGAGGTGCCGTAAATGATATAATAAATTGAGGTTGTTATCACACAGGGCAATCTGAGAAAATTATACATCGCCAGGAATGATATGATCCTCATTAAGGGCTCGTACACAGAACTTCGGTACTAAAATTATAGATATCTTTATTATTTTTGCAGAAACAGCTATCAAAGTCAATGAAAAAAGTCGTGCATACTTACATTTTTCAATAGGAAAAAAATGGTATGCACGACTTTTATTATCAGTCATTTAATTCTTTTTTTTTTCTTTATTTAGTAGGGGATTTTTATCCACATGGATATGTCAACCCCATTGTAACTTATACTCTATTTTCATAAAATTATTAAACACCTATTATTAACACATTTCGTACTTAAACTGTCAAACACCAAGCGGTCACCGGTGACCGCAACCTATTGTTCTATAATTGTGTCTATAATGACGGTACTCGACGAATTAAAACTGTGCTTATGCCTATACGACGGGGAATTACTGCCTAGAACTCTTCATTAGGGCAGAAATAATGAATTTAATTCTTCATTTTTGCATTGCAATAAAATCGTGGCGGAATGTAAATAGCCGTGGTCAAGCAATACTCGAGTTCGAGCTCTGCAATTAACCGTACCTCGTACAAGATCGCAAGCAAAGGCAATATTAGCACCGTGTTTTTATTTCTAGTTTACGTCCTTACATTTATCCTGAGCTGGATTTTATCGCAGATTGAAGATATTTATAGAATAATAAACGTCGAGTACAATATCATAATTTAAATTAAGATTCTGCTCCTATTTACGTAGAGACACATTAAAGTCTGTTACGGTATCATAAAATGATTCACTGCCTCGTTGATCGCTAGAGCGAATGACTTTGAGTTTGATTATTTTTTTGATTTACATAGTCATTATTTGACTTTAATAAAAAGTTAAGAGTCATTCCTTAAATTTAAGAGTTTAGAGTTTGTGCATTCAGTAAATTCTAGGCAATTTAAGTCGTCTTTAGAGGCTGAAGTAGGATAGTAAATCATCAAAGGGAGACTACTTGGTACTACCGTTCCAAATAACGCGATCCTAAGTCGTGAAGATCTCATCAATCCGCGATTGCAACTTTGCAATTCTCGATAGGATCCATTTATTTATCGGCTCTACGATTCCACAGTGGAACGTTCAATAATAAATTGATTTAGAGCAAAATTTACGAGATCCCAGCTTTGTTGTTCATCCCAATTTACGTTTGGCTGTTGTGAATTTAGCTAGCGGAAGTGTTTGGATCAATGTGTGAATTTAATGCAGATTTTTGAATAGAAATGGTTGTTCCGTTTAAAATATTAGTTTTATTTGAATATTTTATACCTACCTAATTTGCAAGGAAAAAGTTATAAAGTAGATAAAAATAATTCGTGTCTATTGTTTTTATTTATTGGATTTCTATTCGATTGGAGTCTAGAATTATGTTCGGAGCTTTGCAATAGATTAAATCAAATTATGTACCATCATCATCATCTGTCATCATTATCATCATCAACAGCCTATACTGCCCATTGCTGAGCAAAACCTCTTCTCACACAGATAAGGTTTGAGCATTAATCACCACGGTTGCTCAATGCGGGTTGGATTTCGAACTTATAGAGGTAATTAGAAATTATAAGCCCAGGTTTCCTCACGATGTTTTCCTTCACCGTTTGTTAGTGGTGTCTACATAATCTTAGATAGTAAATATTAGCACGTATAACTCGGAAAAAGTCATATTGATACTTGCCGTTGGTAGGATTCGATCTTGCACTCTCATGACTGGGAATCAGGCATCTTAAACCTCCGGGCCACCACAACGTTTACGTTACAAATAAAATCTGTACCAATGACTAATACGATACATCTGTACCAAAATCTACCTTATCGAGTGGTAATTAAGCTTAACGTTACATTATGTGCCTTTTTTATAAAGATTGAACATCATCATATAACAAAATAAGTACCTATTAGTGTCAAATTCTTACTGAACAAAAATGACCCCGTTTCCACTATTGCTCCGAGCCGGGGTCGTGGCATATAGGAATGATAAGCTTGATGTAACAATATGTGCCCTAGTTTCGATACCATGACCAGTAATTTATTTGCCTTTTATCCTCGCATTTATTTGGTATAACAACAGGTATTGTGGCTAGAATCTACTAGTGGTTACTTGTTCCATACCGATATTGAATATTTTACAAGCATCGATCCAATGTACTGCAAGTAATAACATGAAAGCTGCAATTAAAACTTGGTTAGGTATAGTAGAACAATAGGTAGTTGGAAAAAGTATTATTATGATATTTTTTGATACGTGATGGGTCGACTATGAATAGTCATAGTTGACCTATCATGTATAGCATAGGCTAACAGGCTAATGTTACCTATGTTTGCAATTAATAAATGAATTTGAATTTGTATTTAACGTTTGGCCTCTGTCTCGCCTGCAGCTGTAGCCAAATGCCATTTAGCGCTTGTCTACGTGTAGAGTAGAAAACTAATTATATGGAATTGACATACATTTTTACACTTATCAGTGTCATCCCCATACATTTTGATTTTTACTCTCTTTGTAGACAAGCGCTAAAGCGGCATTTGGAAAAATGTACTGGTGATAAGCGACCTACGATGGAGCACGTCTGTCCATAATCAACTTATGCACTCGCGCCTTGAATACATTTAGATATAATAGAAAGAATACATATACCCTTCAGAAAATACAGATTCTACCAAGGAATCCTACTAATTAGCAGTTCGCACAAAGAAGCTATAGCTAGAAAGGAACTATTACTTGCTTGCGTTGATGTATTGGTTATTATTAAGTTGAAGGTTTTCATTATACAGACAGTGTAATTTTGTGATATAGAGTAGACTGGTTAATTATTTCAGTCGTAAAATATTGTATTATTTTTGTTTCAGTTACTGTAAGCTGGCGATATAATATAAAACCCTTGGTTTTCGTATAAATCAGTTAATATACTTGATTTTATTAAATCTATAAAATCGAGCATGTTATCCCTTAAACCGTACATAAAATCAGCCTTTTAACAACAATCGTATGTCTAACAAGTATGAATTTGTTACATAAAATATTAAAATCATTTTTAATCTAAATTAGCTTCTGCCCGCTCCTTCGTACGCGCAATCCCGGTTTTTCCATTCCCGTAGGATTTTCGGGAAATCCTTAGATAAAAAGTGTACTATGTACGTCTCCTGGGTCTAAGCTATCTCCCTACCTATTTGTAGCTAAATCGATATAGTCATTCTTGAGTTATAAATGGTGTAACTAACTTGACGTTCTTTTACATATTTTATTATTATCATAGAATATATTTAAAGCATGACTATTTAAAACAGACTTCGTAGTTGTTCTGGGTCTAAGCTATCTCCCTACCTATTTGTAGCTAAATCGATATAGTCGTTCTTGAGTTATAAATGTAACTAACTTGACGTTTTTTTATATTATTTCATTATTACCATAGAATATATTTAAAGCATGACTATTTAGAACAGACTTTGTAGTTTTCTTAACCGAAACTAATAAAGAAAATAACAGCAAATCACGAAACATGAAATTAAACTTGAATAGAGCTTTCTATTTAATGTAACTCCATTGAAATTCGACATGTTACAAAAAGCCACCGTTTCAATAGCGTTGAATATACAGCAGTTCTACCTGCGACCGCGCTAGCAGCCCACTTCTTTAGCATTAGGAAAACCGACAGCCACATTAGTTACTTCAGAGGGAGAAGCATTGCCTTTATATTCAGTGGGACTCTGTAAAATGTAGTTCGTTTTAAGAACGGGTAAGAGAAACGTAGTAATGATCTAGTTATCGAGTTGCTTTGTGTTAGATATTTCTTTTTGGTATGTCCTGTTAAGATTTTTACGAAGTAATTGCATAAACTATGAATAGATATTCCTTAAAAAAGTTAAATCCAAAATCACCTTATATATCCAGCATAAATAAAATAAAGAATAACTTAATTAATTACCTGCTCATTAACCATGTTCAATAATTTACACCGTACCGCTGCAGTTTTCGCTAAACAATACCACTACAATAACAAACATTATTGTGCTAGAATAAATAAATATGTATGCAGCAACTAAAATTACAGCTGGGTAGAACAATAATTCGCGCTCAGCTGACATTTACATTTTCAGTGTACCAACCAAAATTTTAATGATAACAACTAGTGCATAAAATCGACCTGTGTAAATGAGTAAACGTGAACGAAACTATCAGTTTCCTCCGTAATTGGTTCCGACATAATGAAGTGGACAGTGATAGCCTTTCCTAAGAAAAAACAAAAACTTGAAGGCAATTTAAAAGTTGGCGTCACCATCTGATGCTATCGTAACTTCGGTGCCAGTTGAAAAAGGCGAAGTATTATCGTAAAGTTAGACTTTGGATGAAAGATTAATTCAATG